ACATACATACATACATACATACATACATACATACATACATACATACATACATACATACATACATACATACATACATACATACATACATACATACATATAAGAGCAGGTTTAGTTGCAAACTTAATTTCTATTATGATTCGAGGAACAACTGAAAGCGTGTCATGTATCCCAAACATTCATGGGCTATTTATTATGGATGTTGACGTTCATTATTCAGGATGAATGGATACAAATGGTAGCACGATTCGCACCCTCATTTATCCTTCGATGATTCTCCACATAAATCAAATTTGCAACAGAATTCTCACACACATATATAGGGGCTTAATGATTTGGTAACTCCAAATTTTGTGAAATCCATGAGAACTTCTACCTTGAGGTTTGTTTCACATATTATTTTTCATCGAAGTATAATATTTAATGTATTGATTAACATATATTTGTTTCACAATGTGTTTGTTTCAAATGTATTCAATGTGAAACTATTTTACGTGTATTTTTTGTTTGACAAACACACCAAAATTAAAAGGTTCGCATTATGAACCAAGTATACGTGAAATAAATGTATGTAATCACTACATTAAATCCTAGTCATAAATGAAAATCATATAAAATAACACATGATATATTGATTCTAAAAAATCCCACCGTTTATATAGTTCCCAAAAAAATCCCATATATATGAAGCCCATATACATATATATTCACACATATACATATTCACACATATACATATACATATACATATACATATACATATACACATACATATACAGACTTGGGATCATGTGAGACCAAGGGTTTTTCGTGAGACCCATAAAACCAATTCTCAACCCTTAGATTAGATCTACAATTTGAATATTCATAATCACATAATTGCCACGAGACTTCTCAATAATCACAAAATTGTCACTGCAACTTTAGACCATTAGATCATTAGTTTATAAAGTTGATCAATGAACATAAATTGGTCTTACGGATCTCACAAAAAACCTTTGGTCTCACATGAACTCAATCCTACATACACATACACATACACATACACATACACATACACATATATATGAATGAGAGAGAGAGAGAAAGTGGAAGGTGGCATCAATGCATGTGAAGACTTTCCATAAATGGTAGGAAAAAGTTAGGCTTACGTCTCTCTTCAACACTCACAAACTCATGCATTAGTTTGGATAAATATAGAAAGCAAAGATCGGACTTTCCCAAAATAGCAAGGAAGATCATTCCACAACTTTCCACGTGTCACCCTTCTACTGGCTTGGTTTGGTATATGTTTTTTTTCCCTTTTATTTGTCGTTTACTAAAACTTGTTGCTAACCCAAAATTAACCCTAATAAATTTTGCTAAAATTAAATAATATTATTTTGATATTAACAAAAAGAAAGTGTGATTAGTTCTTAATTAAGATAAATAAATCAAAAACAAAAATGGTTAACTGATGATTACGTTTTTTCAGTGATTCGTGTACTTTTCCACCAATCAAATCATATAGATTAGCGGAAATCATATGCGGGTATTTTTAGTAAGAATTATAATTTGGACAGTTACCGTTTAGGTACCGTTCTACATATAGGATTAAGACAAGCATCATCAGTTATTTCAACTAAATACGAAAAAAAACGAAAAAAGAAAAGAAAAATCAGGGAATCAGATGATTTTAGAGATGTCTAAAACTGTATAATTAATTCACGGGTTTTATTGTATAAGCAAAAGTAAAGACTTCAGTAACTTTGTTGTAGTGACACATGAGTCCATACAGAAGACCAAGTAGACGTTACGGTTCATGTTTGACCATATATAAACAAAGACACAAGTCAAACAGCGGGTTTTACTTCTTCTTTTTTTGACTTATATGTTTATATATGTATACTAAAATAGATCTATAAGACTCTCTGGTATATTTTATATAAAACGATTTTTAATCGCTATTTAGTAACTGCATGGACCATAAATCCTCCATACTCCACATGTTCTCATTTGTTTCGGTGGGAAATGGACCTGAAAAATTCTGAAAATTGTCGTAGGGTGGAGAGTACGTTTCCATCGGATTTACCACATTGCATGCTTGTGTTGAGCTCGTGGTGGCTTGATCGTTCTGCCCTGAAGAAGTCTGCCCATTGAAGTTTTCCGCTTGCTTGATGTGCTTTTGAATCCTGGTCCTCCAATAATTCTTTATCTCGTTATCTGTTCTTCCCGGAAGATGTTTTGCTATTTTCGACCATCTACAAGACATTTCAATTTCAAACGTTGAAAACAAGTAGGAAGAAAGTTTCATATGAATAGTTTATGAAATCTTTGATTTTAACCACAAGGGTGGTGTCTGATTGGTTTGAGTTTGGCTTCAAATGTCAAAAGTACCAGGAGGTCTTGGGTTCAAATCCAAGGAGGAATAAAAATCCCCTTGTGGCCACGGAGGTTCAAATGCGGTGACTCCGGGCTATCTGCAAAGCAGGTGGTCGCCCTGGGATTAGTCGACTCGCATAGCGGGTTGGATATCCAGGTTAATCAAAAAAAAAATCTTTGATTAATATTTCTTAATTCCCATAATACCCTTTTAATTTATAATAAGCCCCGTAAAACGTGATCAGTAAATAAGCGTAATTTGAAGTTAAAATGATCTGTATATCGACTTTGAGCTAGCGGTAAAGAAAAATTCCCAAAATTGAGATAGATATCATGGCCCACGAAAGATCATACAAAATTGCGTACGATGTGATAATTAAGATTCATATAAAAGCAAACATAAAACATGTTCTATGACGGAAAATAAAAGTATATCATGTTCCATGTGTCGAATTGATCGATCAAAGTACTTTTCGTTCAATCCATCTATATTTAAAGGAGACTCGGACTCACGTTGTATTTCATATAGTGACGAAATCTCATAAAAAGATTTCGGAAAAGAAAAGGAGGGATCTCGACCTGTTTTTGATCTTTTTAAGATTCTTCGGCTAAAGTTCGGAAGTTTAAATTCGTTTTGTCGTTGGCACGGAGATCCATTCACAGGAGCATCGATGCGTTGGTGATTATAAAGAAGAAAAAAAAAAGCCATTTTTTTGGTAAGTAAAATAAATTAAAATATTATTTTTAAAATTTTAAAAAGATAGAAAAATAAACTTGTGGGTGTATTTCTTTTATAACCTATTTTTTCTTAAATTATAATATTAGAAATTAATTACATTTAAAGTTAAATGTTTTTGTTATTAGTGAAATGGACACAATAATTTCAAGATTAATATTTGAAATTAAAAACATATTTTTTTAAATTTAGAAATACGGTCATAATTATATGCGGAAATATATTGTATTTCTGAACCGAAGAAGCGAGATGAATATATTTTCAAGATAAATAACCAAGATTCCGAAAAGGGTCGGGTTCTGTACGAGATTTGAACGATCGATTAAGCTCGAGTGCAAGTACCGTCGACATAAAACCCTAAACTTACGTTAAAGGACCACCACATTGTCTTGATGAGCCAAAACAATATCGAATCTATTGATTTCTAGTGAAAATTAATGGCGGGGAGAGCTTTTTTCGACTCGTTGAAAATCAAATTTAAACATGTGACGGATTAAAAAGGATTACTTCTAGAAATGGGAAGATTTCTATTTGTCGATTCGATCTTTTATGGCTTCTCGATTTGGATCATCAACTGGTGATGGCTGTTATATATATATAAAGCGTATTATACCCTTCGATATCTCGATTAATTAAAATAAATCTTGGTTAAATACATGATTTAAATTAATCAAGTTTAATTGTAAATTTCAAATTATTACAAATATATATATATATATATATTGATTAAACCCTAACCAACTCCCTTGATTTAATTTTAAACAAGATTTGATAATTAGCTGATAAAAGACTGTAACTTTTTCAAGAACATATCGTTTTCGACTTAATTTGTCTGTTCAGCACACGAAAACCAAAATGGAGAACCCGTCGGTCGAACATCAAATTGATAATATAAAAATAAAAATAAAAACTTAACAAAAAGAGTTAAAAAGTGAAGAATTAATTAGTTTTTAAACATTAAAAAAACATGAAATTAATTCTCGAAAATATGTTGTTTAATATTAAAAACTTCACAAAAATAGAGAAACAAGATTTGATGAAGATATATATATATATATATATATATATATATATATATGTGTGTGTGTGTGTGTGTGTGTGTTTAATTTTAGGGTTTTTCATAAAAATTCAAATTAAATTGGAGAAATCAGATATTAATACTAACCTGTTTCCCCATTTAGCATGAAGCTCCATGATCAATAGTTGTTCTTCGGGTGTGATGTTACCCCTTCGCACATCTGGTCGAAGATAGTTCAACCATCTGAGACGACAACTTTTTCCGGTTCTTTTAAGACCTAATTAATCAAATTATAATCAACCACTTAAATTCAAACCCATATACATACATACATATACAAAACAATTGAGGGTTTACAGTATAAAATTATAAGCTAAAACGATCATATATAATTACCTGCAGATCTAGCAAGAGAGTTCCAAACGCCTTCACCATGATTTGCGATGTAGTTTATAAGAATCAAGTCCTCTTCCATTGTCCAGGGCCCTTTTCTGACTTCGACATCTTGCGACGAATTGCTCGCTTTTTTATCCATCTGTTTAAGGTATTAATAGCTTATATGTTGCTTCGGATTTCGGTTGAAAATCTAGAGAGAGAGAGTAAGGGAGAAAGGTAGAGAGAGAGAGAGGGAAGGAGAGAGAGAGAGAGGGATTTGAAGGGAGATAATGAAGATGGTGTTGGTTTTATAGGGGATGGATAAGATGATATTTAACATGTTAATTAAGCTTTTTAGTTAAGGTTAATCAACTTTTTAAATCTTTAGGCCTAACTTCCTTAATTAACCTGGCTTAATGAACTAATCACTTCTAAACTAATATTACAACAACTTGATTAATTAAA